TTATAGCAGTGTTGTTTTAAAAAGGATGGTTATTTACATCAATTGTGGACTACATCCTATTTTATTTTTCCAACCCCCACGACTGTTGCCTTTTTTTCTTCTGAATCCATTAATATTTATTTGCACTACTTATATGACCTAGTTAGTGTTACTAAAGCTTCCCGACTATGCCACTGTTAGATATTACAAGTTTTTCTGAACATCTAAGGACTGACCCAGTTTAGTGTTAGTAGCTGGGGGTCTACCATGTTGGACTGAAATAATAACAGCAAATGATTTCATTTGCAGTGTTTGAGTGTTAGAATGTTTTCTTTGTTCAAATAATCAGGCTGGGTTTGGAGAACTCTATAATACTGTGTTACTTTCCAGGGTAAAAAAATAAGGGATTGAGTTAAAAAGGATGGATCACTAAGAGCTTATATTGATTACAGGGGCCTCAACCAAATTACTTTGGAAAAATAAATATTAACTTCTTCTTCTCTAAGCAGCTTTTGATCTGGTTCATGGCTCACATTTCTTCAACAAGTTGGATCTCTGAAATGTCTTTCATCTCTTACCATACAGGCTCTAAAAACACCAAACCCGATGCCCTGTCCAGGCAATACTTCAGTGACCAGGAACCCAAAATCTCAACCAGTATTCAATTCAACCTTTATGAATTTTGGGAGCCTCATGGCGGACCCATCGGACCCTCACACTAGACCTCCGGACCGAGTTTATGTTCCTACTTCCATTAGGTCCTGTCTCATTCACTGGGCCCACATGGAAAATTCTCCTGCCATCCTTAAATCAACCGAACTCTCCTACTCCTTAGACAACATTTCTGGTGTATGGTGGAGGTATAAGGATGTTAAAAGCTATGTTCTAGCCTGTCCAGTGTGTACCCGCAACAAAGCCAGTCACCAGCTTCCCATTGCTGTTCTTCAGCCATTGCCTCTCCCTAAATGTCCATTTAGGGAGAAGCAATGGCTCTCAGTTCAAGTCTTAATCTCTTAACTAATACTCAATCCGAATAAATGAACCAGGAGCTTGAGGCATCCCTCCGCTGCCTCTGTTCGTCACATTCGTCATGGCGTACTTAGTTGACTTGAGTCAAATATGTTCACTATTGTCACACTTCCTCGACTACTGGTCTGTCTCCATTTGAGTCCTTTCAAGGATACCAACCTCCCCTGTTTCCATCTGACGAGCAGGACATTGCCGTTACCTTGGTCAAACACCACATTAGGGGCTGCAGATGGGCCTTGAACCTGACGGTTTCTGCTCTAAACCAGGCAGTGGAAACAAATCAACGTGTGGCTGATCAGAGAAGGATTTCTACTCCCCAGTACTCATCTGGAAAAAAGGTTTGGCAATGAACTCTTGACATTAATTTTAAGTGTCTAATCTAAAACTCTCTGCCAGATTCCTCTTTTCATTTGAATTCAGGGCAGTGCTCAGTCGCTCGGCAGTTGCCTAAAAGTGCCGGATCATTTAAAGATTCATCATGTTTTTCACGTCTCTCTCGTCAAGCTTTTCCTGTCTAGTCCACTAGACCCATGTGCATTCTGGCCAAGGAAGATGGTTTGAGCGAGGGGCTAAGGAAGCCATCTTAGTTAACCTGGAAAAACATCTCTGAACAGAGGGGGTGGTCTTAGACACAACCTTTTACTTACTTAGAAAGCACTTTTAGGAACAATAGCCAGAAGATTCACCTCCCACCTGTCCTCACCTGACTCACACTTCAATGAAGCATATGACTAAAATGAGGGAGCTAACGAATCATCAGAACCCCCTAATGACCATTAACACCTCATGTGACCTCCATGGCCTATCCAGTAGGAGTGATCAGAGCCATCTCTCTTTCCTCCAAATTTGTTCCACCTAAAGTATATTAATCTCAGTGCTTCCCACCATTAGTTAGAACTGAAGAAGCCTCTTGGATGAGAGGAGAAAATTCTTCTAGAAAACTTCACATCCCGTTTCCTAAACTGGAATTTTCCAGCTTCAAATAATGTACTTGTTTCTGTACCTGCTAGATCTCAGTGCTTCAACGTGTTGTATAAATTTAAGAGAACTGCACTAAACTGGTTTAATTGTTATTAGTCTAACAGAAATCTATTGACATTTTTTTCAAGCTCTTTGATTACTTGGGACGTACCGAGAAATTAGTGCTAGGGCCAAAACTCTTTACTATGTCTTTGTTTCCAAATGTGATAATAACTAGTTTGGGTTTCATTTCCACTGTTATGCTGATGATACTTACCTATATTTGTCCATTAATCCTGATCAAACTAACAAAATAATATAGACTACATGCATGTCTTGTAAAACCTGAATGAATTCAAATGTTTTGCTTTGAATAATAAAAAAAGAGAGAAGTTATTATTTTGGAACAGAGTCTTTGAAAAATAAGCAGATTAGTCTGGCACTTCATATGGATGGCATGAATTAGCTTCAGATATTATATAACATCTTATTTCTGATCAGGACTTGTCATCTGAATCTTATATTAAACAGGTTTCTAGAACTTTTTTCTGTCATCTCCAGAAGATTACTAAAATGTAAGCTATCCTGTCCAGAGGTGATGCTGAGGAACTAGTCCATGCATTTGTTTCCTCAAGGCTGGACTATTGTAATTCTTTATTATCAGGAATTTCACAAACGGTAGTCAAAAGCCTTCAGCTGAATGTGTAGGTACATGATTAGACCCAACATGTAATTTGCACGACTGCAAGTATCTATATGGTTATTGTAAATACATTTCAAATGGGTAATCACCTTTTTAAAGTGTTAGATAAATAAACAACTGTTAAAGGTGTAGTGGAGGATGTTCTTTTTCTGTGTGGATCATCAAAATAAATGGTCATCCTGATTGTCAATCATTCTGGTAATATGTTTACATAACGCTGTCCTACGTGCTCGTCCCCATTTTCCCTTACCAGCGGTGAGTCTGACATAGTGGAAAAATTGCAAAACTTCTTTTGGAAAATAAGCTTGTATGAGCAATGCAAACAGCAACTTTTAAACAGAGCGTGTACAAGGAGAAATGGGCTTTCTCCTTGTAATCTCCTTGTAATTATTTTGTGGAGATTTTTTTTGTGGAGATTTTTTTATTTTTTGTGGAGATGGTGAGTCTCTTTTAAAAAAAATTGCAAAGATTCTCCATTTTACCTTTAACTCCACCGCTCATGTCAAGTAAAAACCATTTAACAGGCCCAGGAATATCCCAGGAACTAAAGAAATAAGAGAGCAATATTTATTTCCTATTATATCAACTGAGAAAGATACACTTTGATACCTGAGATATGCAGATGGTTGGCTTCCACTAAATCTGGTAGTGTTATTTTATCACTTTATTTCATTGGCTTTCATCATTAAGCTTTGTAAACTAATATTTTTGGCACTGACGACTGGCTTAATTACTCATTCCATTCACCTGTCTAACTCTACCCGGTTTCTAATTACTGCTCATCTGATCAAACTAATCCTGCCTCTATTAAAGGTGCTAGCATCCAGTCATTAGGTTCTGATTATTCTTGTTCTCTCTAGCCAGTGGTGAGAGTGTTTTTAGAGTACTTTGGTGTTTCTGATTACCCGATCCTGACCTATTCTGCCTCTCAACCGCTGAGCCTGCCTGTTCCTGTCTGAACGGTTTGCCTGAACTGTCTTTGGACTCCTGGACCTCTGGGTCTGCCTGCTCCTGTTCTAATCTGTTTGCCTGACCTGGCTGCAGGATCGGGGAAACTTGTGCCTGCCACACCTTGTCGGAAGCCCAACGGCTGGATCCTACCTCATTCTCTGGGCATGGACTGAACTTGTAAACCAGGTTAGCTACATGCACGTTCATAATCGTCCTCTGTCAGATTATGATGGTCACTAACCTGTGTTTCTCTCCTGCAGAGACTCCACCCTTAGATGGCCACTGCCCACTACTACTGCAGATCCGCAGTCTGTGTGTTAATTAACCCTTTTGAAGTTATCCCACTGTCTGTCTGGCCTGAATACTGGGTCCTCCGCTCTGAGTCTGGACATTTTCTCTCTCTGTGTATTTAGTTATTGGCATTCGGTGCAATTTCTCTTTGAATGAATGAACGCTTTTAGTTGCATTGCATATGTCTGGTTTTAACAAAAATTCAATATGAAATTTCTTGCAAATTATACATTAAGTGTGTTACACAAATTGGATGCTTTTAAAAAGTATACTTGACGGAGTCTAAATTCTCTTGTCAAAGGTAAAAAGATAATGGGGGGTTTTATAAATCTTATTGAAAAGATTTTACAAAAACATTAGAACCGAGGAAAATTAGAAAGGTGTTCTAAAATAAAACCAGCAATCAAAATGAGTGTAATTACATTCTTTCAAAAATATCAATGAAAGTAATGTGTTTCGAATCAATTAATCTACGGGATTTCGTGTACTCTTTGAATTTGTGAGAAACATCTGAAGATTACATTTGTGTAATTAAATTTGCCATACAAAATTTGTTGGTTTGTAATAAAAATAACTGTCTCCATGGCCAAAATACAGTATTACACTCCTACAGTCAATTACGATATATGTTTGAATTACACATATATTGTAACTCAAAAGTCCAAACATTGATAGAGTGGGTACAGTGATAGAATAAATGAGAGGCTTATGTTCCATATTACAAAAACTGCATTTAACTTCAAGATCTGAGAATTTTGAAAAATATAAATTTGTAGGATATAAAGTGTGTAAAATGATGTGAATCTCTTATATGATTGGAGAGTACTTCTAATAGCCAGGCCTTCTTCTAGTCAGTGTCCATAAAAATGTTCTTTATTGAAATTTGTTGTACTTTATTTTCCTCTTGGATTCATCCTCTTTTCGTAGAAATAATTCTGTATATGTTGTTGCATTTGGAGTCCAATAGATCATGGGGAATTTTCTACATAAGACCCTTTAAAATACCGATGACGTATTGAAGTCAGACATGAACAATCGATCCCTGCTTGCTCGCGAGCGTAGAGGGATGTTGTCATGCGTGCTAACGAGCGTTGCTAGTCACTTTGCCATGGCGGCGCTAGTGTCGCTGATTAAGGAGGGGACTTCGCAGCATCTTGTTTGAATTCCCTTTGGTGACGGATACCGCGTGTGTTTACTTCTCCAAGATTTGATTTTAACAACATTTATCTCCAAAGCGGCCATGACCGTGGAGCAGAATGTCCTCCAGCAGCATTCTCAGAAGGTAAGACTGTGGAAGATAACTTGACGGTTAGCTAACTTTAGCTTAGCTGCATCGCTGCATAGTTTTATTGCTCCACAACAAAAATAGTCACAAAGTCAGCGTATTGGTTGGTTGGAAAGACATTAAAATGCTACCCAGTTAGGTTTTTGATACTCCACCTAAAATAAAACACGTTTAGAGCTTTACAGTATTTAATATTTACACAGGCCCGAAGCTACGCAGCTGTCCAATATTATGCTAGGTAGCTAACGGTACCGTGGTATGGATGTTTTGAGCCAAGTTATTGTTGTGCAAACTGAAGGCTCTTTAAAATGTAACATTTAAATGTAGTATATATTTTTTTATTATGTAAAGGCATATACATTTTAATTAAATATAAAGAGACATAAATCTAGAATTTGTAACTGATATTCTGCCGTCTTGTTAAATACGTATTTTAATTAAATCCACGGTATTGTGCAGGAGTTGGGCGGTCCTCCTTTTAGCAATGCTAAGGTGGCTTATTTGTAAAGTGTTGCAAAAATAGTAACCCTGCAGATGTGAGTGTTTCTTGGTTACTCGTCACGTAGCCAATGTCTTTGTTTACAAAGCATGGCCAAAGGCGCAGGCGGCATCCAGCCGAGCCCTGATGTGATGGAGTAGTCAGATAGCCAGACAAGTCTGCGATGGTTCAAAGACGACAAGGCGGATTATTATGTTACCTTCCATCATGCTCTCATCTTACCTCGGTGCATTTAAAACCCACTCCGTTGCTTTAGCTCCTTGTTGTTTACTGTGGCCAGCATGCTTAGCTCTCGTTACTTTGCGACTTTCTAATACGCTGTTAAAATGAAGCCTAATGAGGTTTTGCATTAAAGTTAACGGTCTCGCTTCCTGGCACATCCTTTGTGTATTAGCAACTGTTCTGCAGATGCTGTCTCCTCCATCAGTGAGTCAGACTTAAAAAGAGCTGTTCTGACCTTCAGTTTGAAATCTGTTTAAAACAACAATGCATTTTTGCGTTTTTCTTTAGTTTCTGAACAGTGCAGACCACTACCCAGGAAAGTGGTTTTAAATAGTTATAGTTGGGTTTTTTTGCATTTCAAAAATCTGCCCGTTCCAGTGTTTGTATAATCCTCCAATGAGAGTTTTGTAAGTGTAGGGTGTGGTGCCCGTTTTCCTGTGATGACCTGTCAAAGTAAAGGACGGTCCTGTCTCTGCTGGTTTGTTGCTTTGCTTGATTGTCATACAAAACCCAATGAGACCTGCCTTGGATTTGGATTTGGGAAACACCCTGGTCTTTAATCTTCTGCTGAGCCTCAGTTGTTCTGGTGCCAGGTGTTTCACTGAGATCACATGTTCCTCTGCATGTCTGAGCCATCGCTGTAGTTTGTCAGACCTAAAACTGTCACCAGCAGAGCCCAGACCTATTTGACTAGAAACACATCGCCTGTGCCAGCAAACCTGCACCCATCGTCTGTGCCAGCAAACTTGCTCCCATCATTCTTTGTGACCCTGACTGAGCTACATTGACTGAGAACATGTTATGTGTAGGGTCTAACTTATTCCTTTAAAATATATTTTAACAAAGCCAATTAAGAACTGAAATCTCGTGCTGGCATTACAGTGAGCTTAAAATAGTTGTTTTCAGGAGTGACTGGAGACACCTTTTCTGTCTCCTTTCTGGAGTACCTTCTGTGTAAACAAGAGATTTTTTCAGTCCTCAACAAGTGACTACTTGGACCTATGATCCTCACTCGGTATTCCTGGAGTTGACGAAAGTCAACGAGAAGTCTGAGAACAACTTACCCATTTATTATTAACCAACGGGCTACATAAACTTTAGACAGAATAATTGTTTTTTTTTAACAGAATGCTAAGTTACTAGACCGATGAATGGGACATCTCCAGTAAACACATTAAAAGAGTATAAGATATGATGAACGTTTTGTAATTTGGGGACTTTTTACAGCAATTTTGCTGCATAAATACAGGATATTTTGAAATTCCACCTTATTCTGTGGAAAACAAATGTACAGTTTTTATGACAGAACCTGTCCAGCAACAGATTGTCTGCATTCAGACCGAGCGCGGTGTCCGCAGTGATTTCTGTCATCAAATAGGTGGAGCTTCAGCTGTGTGAAGCCGACACCCTAACCACGTGAAAAAAAATTATTAGAATGAATGGTTTGTCCATCATTAGTGCAGGTTTAAGCAGGTAACATGATTTGTAAAAAAGAAAAAAAAAATGTAAATATAATAAGCTATGTGCTGCTGTTGTTTCAGACAGTTAATTTTTTAGTTCATGCAGAGGTCAACTATCCCTCCATTAAGTTAAAATTGAATCTAAATTATCTAATTTTTCAGTACTACTTGATTTCTGCAGGTAAAACTGTCCAAATTCAGTTTTTTTTTTAGATAGAATTCTTTTTAATTTCGGTCAATGACGTCACCATCCCAGCAGGCATTAGTGCTGCGATCGTCCCCTGATAGAAAGTTATTGCATTATATCACATGTCATCCCTGGATATAACAGTGGGTATGTTAACCTTATTTATTGGCTGGAATGATTGTTTGACATTTCGTAAATTTCCAGCCTCCTAGGTCTTTCAGTTTGGACCTTTACCCCTGGCAACCCTTTGTCATATCCTGTCATGGTGTCGGCAGTGACATTTCACATTAAAAGTACAGGTGAAAATTAAAATCACAGAACTGCTGCTAAATTGTTCTCTATGAAAAACTTTTGAATTTCCTTGGGGAGACCATCATTTTTTGGAAAAGCCCCAAAACCTCTAAAAGATCCACTTTGGTTCATCCAAAGCTTTGGATTTAGGAGGACTTCCTTCTAAATCTACCTCAGCAGGAAGCACCAACGCTGGGCAGGGACAGACCCCTGTCTGTGCTGGAGGTGAGGGAGGATGTTGGCTATAGTTGTTTTTTTGATACTGGTTAGTGTCCAGTCTCATTTGGATAGAATGGATTCTGCCTAATGTTTTTAAATGAAGTATGTCCAGGGGGCTTTAGCTGCCCGCATTCCTGTCTGGAAGTCCTGAGCCTGACACCAACTGTAAACAGAGCAGCCGTCTATCTTGTTAGATGCAGAGACCACATCACCTGCATGCATTTAATATAAGATGTGTTACCTAAGGATTATTCCAGTTGGAGATCGACCAATACAGGTTTTCAAAGGCAGATCATCCTAACTGATACCAACTATATGCAGCCAATATTTTTTGGCCGATTCTTGGTGAAAATATTACTTTCTTCCTGCAATTTATATTTAGAAATGACAAAAGAATAAGAAATGTTACACAAAGTTTTAATTAAAAAACAAACATTACAAAATCCAAAGAAAACACCAACAACAGAAAATAAATGTAGGTATTGGCAGGCATGGGCTTCACCAACAAAAATATCAGCCAGCCAATTTATTGGTTCAGCTCTAATTTCAGTAATCTAATATTGTATGTATCAGTATATTGATTAATATCAAGTAATTTACATCCACAATGGCAGCGCACCTTCATTCTCTGTATCCACTGTAGAGGAACCCGTTTATTAAGATGCTAAGGCCCCCTTAGTGTAACCACTCTGTTACTCTAGTAGTAGAGCGGCTCGCCACGCTGATTGCTGCAATTCTAGTCAATCAGAGTGATTCTACTGAAAGCACTGTGCATGATGGGAAGAAAAGTTAGATGATTAGATAAAGAGCAGAAATGCAAGGCTCTGGTTAGCTGGGTTAGAACTGGTTGAATAAACACTTTATTGGTTAGTTGTTTTATTTAAAGCCTACAAGTTCACTGCTGTAGTGTGGTGATGCAATCCTGACGTGATCTCAGTAAAACTGTGCAGAAACTTCGTAATGAAAACATTCCTGGTTGAATATGGTGTCTGGCTCATAGCTGCTGGCTCCACATCCAGTGAAACCGAGCGGTAAGACAGAGCGCCTCATCCCCACTGGCTGCACAATAATACCTGTGAAATCACCTCTACTGTATTACAAACATTTGCAATAATGTGTATCTAGAACAGCAAAAAAAAATGTTTTTCTTGCTGTGAGACTGCATTATACTGTCATAAATGACCTACTGTTATTCATATATAACCCTTTAGAAAACTGTTTTTTTTTATTTTTATATTTTTAGTATTTCTCTGTTTTTGGGTTGAAAAGGCCCTTTTTTTTCTTTGCATATTCTCTTTTTCTCTTTTTCCAACTGTCTCTTCTTACCTGTTGTGCTACTAAGAGCTGTTGTGACCAGTTTATGTCTCCTCTTTAGATATAAGACAAAACATTTCAACATCAACATGTGAAAAGCCCAGGCTTTTGTTCTTGACCCAATATCAGGTCTATGCCAGCTGCCTCGCTACTTCAAATGGTTCCAAACAACGCGTTGCTCTCATTCTGCACTCTGGAATATTAAGAGGACAATTTTCCAAATAGAAAATCACTTCTGTACTCTGCTTAAAAAACTGTTTACTCTTTTATTGCGAGTTTGCAAAAAAAAAAAAAATTGCATACACAAAACAAAACTAAAACAGAACTCCTCTACTGATCTGTGTACAGTTGTGATAGGTCTAAGCAGGTTTGTGCTGGAAGCTAGGCTGAACACGATGCGGTAAGGGCCAGACTAATCCAGCCCATGATCAGCACATACCTGGCAGGGAAAAGTATTTTCATCGCATAATTTCATTATATTGTAAATCAGTAAAACAGACCCTTTCAAAAAAATAGCCTCCTAACTTTGGGGATTTTGTTTTTTTGGCTCATGCCATTGAAGTATTGGAATGAGAACCAAATCGGTGTCTGATGGTTCTTGAAGTTTGTAGTTCCCAAAGTTTTTGCCTCTAGCAGCAGATTAATTAATCTATTTTTGAAAGCAAGGATGAGTTTCAGTCGGATAGAGTTGAAGATGGGATGTAAACAGTGAATGACCTATTTAGGAATCACAGGCTGTCCCTCCTATCACACTTAGCTGCCACTTTTCACACTTTTGTTGCATTTCTTCCACTCTGCAAAGCATTTCTTTGTTTTTCCATTTTTATAGAGCAAGTTCAAACTACATTTTTGTCATTCCTTCTTTCTCAATAGCACCAGCAAACGCTACTAAACCAGCTGAGAGAGGTGACGGGCACCACAGACATTCAGCTGCTTCAGCAGGCCCTGCAGGTACAGCCTCAAACAGAGGCCCACTCTCTACTTTATATTGACTCGCAAACCAGTTTTCCTGAAAAATCTGGACCCTATTTATATAAGGCTGTGTGTGAAATATCGTCCTACCCATAGTTTGTAATCAAAACAACACACACCCCTCCTTAGAAAAAAGCCCTGCATGGTGTAGCTGGTTAAACATAAAATGTGTGAAATTACCTTTGTTTTCTAACACTGTGTTGATGTTCCACTTTGCCTCTGCTGCAGGTGAGCAATGGAGATTTGGCTGAAGCCGTAGCTTTTTTAACAGAGAAGAACGCTAAGGTTCCTCAGCAAGATGAAACTACCTACTACCAGACATCCCAGGTGGCCAGTGACAGATATATCAGTGTTGGCAGCCAGGCAGACACAAGTGAGCAAATGACCTCAAAATGGGGTGGATAATACTGTGATCACTGGAAGTAAATGTTTGGCAGATCATCAAGTGTATAATGGCTTATTTTGTCGTTGCTGCTCCAGATGTTATTGACCTGACAGGGGATGATAAAGATGACCTGCAAAGGGCGATCGCCCTCAGCCTGGAGGAGTCCAACCGGGCGTTCAGGGAGACGGGGATCACTGATGAGGAGCAGGCCATCAGCAGGTGAGCTCAGAGGGAACGTTTTCAAAATGAGGTTCATCAAATTAATTAATTGAAAAAATAATCTTCAGATTAATCAATTTACAAAATAATCTTTAGTTGCAACCCTACCCCAGTTAAAGATGTGATTACTAAATTAGCTGATTATTAGTTAAATAATTGATCTCATCCTTTATCTGATTAGTTTATTTTAGTCCCAGTAACACTTTATGTTCAGTTTTTAAGTCTTTTTTTTCTGGCTTTTCTCTTTCTTTTTTTTTAGAGTTTTGGAGGCCAGTATAGCAGAGAACAAGGCGAGCCTAAAGCGTACTCACACAGAAGTATGGAGCGATTCACCGAACCCTCATGACAGAAAAAGGAAAGACAACTGCCCAGTGGGTCTAAAAAATGTTGGCAATACCTGCTGGTTCAGTGCTGTCATACAGGTGAGCACAGACAGTTTTGGTCCCGATGCCATATTAGGACATCCATAGACTGCAGTGTCATGTCGGATTGCCATTTTCAATCCAATTTTAGTTCAGTTTATTTATATTGCGCCAAGTCACAACACATGTCATCTTAAGGCACTTTACAATTCAACCAGATCATACAGTCAAATTGATTCAAATTGAACCATATTATCCCAACTGGGAGGTATTCACCTCAGGCTTTTAGCTAGGAATATTTCATTGGGTGTTCCCATTGGTATATCGCATCTTTAGGCTTTGCGTGGCACAGGGGGGTCCTGAGGTATCCTCCCCCGGAAAATGTTGAAATTTAGACTCTCTGAAACACTATTACCTGCATTTTGTCATGGAATGCAGCTAATGTTCTGTCTTTGTTCCAACACTACTTCTAATAATAAAAAAAAAAAAAAAAATCCCCACTGTTGGGGGTTGGCAGAGTAGCCACTGGATGGTGACACCAAGTTGAAAATAGTAACATTCATACTGTGTGCGTACTCATACAATTAAACTTCTGCTTCAGTCTGGTGCTGTCTTGAAAGTACAAAGACTACTATAATTGCGCATGCATAGCGTTGTTAAACTGGGTACTTCCAATCTTCTGAGATAACAAGCGCACTGCTCTGACCACTAGGCCAACACTCCCCATGTAAATAAATTGATTACCCTTTCCATTTCGGTCATCTACTTTCAGCTCTCTCATGAAAAACTAAACTTGACAAATGTGGATGGAAACGCAGACTTCAGACTTATGCTGGGTCACGTGTGTGAACACGTACGCTCCATTCAGTAGACGGACAGCACAGCCACTGAAGGCATTAGTTGACTCATCATAGGAAGGTTTGAAAGGATTTACAGCGGGCTCTGATATTTTAGTCCAAGCTGAAAGGTGGTCAGAATAATTTTGTCCTTCCCTATAAAATTCAACATCGTCTGCTACGGCGGCCACTGGGTCAGTCGGCTGTTCTGCTGTTACGCTGGAGCTATAATCGGCCCCTCCCCATAGGAGTGCAGTGAATGGGCAAAGATGTTAAAAAGGAAATGAGACAGATGGGTGGAGCAGAGGAGGTGAATAAGGAACAATTTCAAATAGTTTTAGAGATCCTCTGTATTGAAGTCGGGTCATGCCAGTTATTAAATTGTTAAGAATCCAGGGAAGCTTAGTCATAGGTCATTTGCTGCTGTGGTAGAATGTGACCCGAGCTGAAATATGCCAAATGAACATTGGATACACCCTCACATGATGCTTGGCTTTTCTCTGTAATGTTATCCATACAGCTAAGAAGACTGCCTGCTTAACCCTGCTCAGTTTGAAGTAAACAACTTCATCTTTTCTAGAAGGAAAAAAGGTCCCTGTGTTCCTAAGACATACATTCCTTTCGTGTAATAAAACACTCATTTGGCTCGAGCTACAAGCGGCTCTAATTATCAAGTTGAAACTCCAAAATGTGGGACGTGTTAGATCCAGTAAAAAACACTTAGGTTTCACCATCTCTTTGCCACTTGTTTTATTTTCATTGATGCACAGGTAGTCATGCTTTAAGCTAAACTTTCCGTAACTTAGTGCAACTTGGTTAAGCTGGACACAACGTGAAAATGGAAAATAACACTTTATGAGGTGAAGAACAAAGGAAATCTGTACAATGAAATAAANACTGTTGGGGGTTGGCAGAGTAGCCACTGGATGGTGACACCAAGTTGAAAATAGTAACATTCGTACTGTGTGCGTACTCATACAATTAAACTTCTGCTTCAGTCTGGTGCTGTCTTGAAAGTACAAAGACTACTATAATTGCGCGTGCCTAGCGTTGTAAAACTGGGTACTTCCAATCTTCTGAGATAACAAGTGCACTGCTCTGACCACTAGGCCAACACTCCCCATGTAAATAAATTTATCACCCTTTCCATTTCGGTCATCTACTTTCAGCTCTCTCATGAAAAACTAAACTTGACAAATGTGGATGGAAACGCAGACTTCAGACTTATGCTGGGTCACGTGTGTGAACACGTACGCTCCATTCAGTAGACGGACAGCACAGCCACTGAAGGCATTAGTTGACTCATCATAGGAAGGTTTGAAAGGATTTACAGCGGGCTCTGATATTTTAGTCCAAGCTGAAAGGTGGTCAGAATAATTTTGTCCTTCCCTATAAAATTCAACATCGTCTGCTACGGCGGCCACTGGGTCAGTCGGCTGTTCTGCAGTTTACGCTGGAGCTATAATCGGCCCCTCCCCATAGGAGTGCAGTGAATGGGCAAAGATGTTAAAAAGGAAATGAGACAGATGGGTGGAGCAGAGGAGGTGAATAAGGAACAATTTCAAATAGTTTTAGAGATCCTCTGTATTGAAGTCGGGTCATGCCAGTTATTAAATTGTTAAGAATCCAGGGAAGCTTAGTCATAGGTCATTTGCTGCTGTGGTAGAATGTGACCCGAGCTGAAATATGCCAAATGAACATTGGATACACCCTCACATGATGCTTGGCTTTTCTCTGTAATGTTATCCATACAGCTAAGAAGACTGCCTGCTTAACCCTGCTCAGTTTGAAGTAAACAACTTCATCTTTTCTAGAAGGAAAAAAGGTCCCTGTGTTCCTAAGACATACATTCCTTTCGTGTAATAAAACACTCATTTGGCTCGAGCTACAAGCGGCTCTAATTATCAAGTTGAAACTCCAAAATGTGGGACGTGTTAGATCCAGTAAAAAACACTTAGGTTTCACCATCTCTTTGCCACTTGTTTTATTTTCATTGATGCACAGGTAGTCATGCATTAAGCTAAACTTTCCGTAACTTAGTGCAACTTGGTTAAGCTGGACACAACGTGAAAATGGAAAATAACACTTTATGAGGTGAAGAACAAAGGAAATCTGTACAATGAAATAAATTGTTTTTTTTTTTAACTTAACCTGCACTGAAACACCAAAAGACATCTGGCCACCTGCTGAATGTGTGACTAAATTGTTATAAAAGCTGAGACGTTAGCTAGGGTTGGGCAGTGAATGTATTTTATTATATAAATAAAATACAAAAAAATAAAACCGAATTTTTACATAGCAGAAGCATTTGAATTTGGTCCCACTACATTTAACAGGAGTAGGACATCAGCTGCATTTCCATTAACTAATTAAGAAAATATATTTGCTAAAAGAAGCTGCCATTTTTAAATCACAAATTTTTCCATAAAAAGTAATTTATCAATGGGGTGTTTTTTTTTCTAGATTGATCAAAATTTTTATATGTTGCAAAATTGCAATGGGAATCCTCGTTTTAGCATCACATGAGTCACGTGATATGTAACTAGACCTTACAGTCTTGTAAAAAGATGAAGAAGAGGAATGGAATTTCCATGTTGTTTTCAGAGTTATTGTGTGAACAAATGTATTAATGTGGAATTTTAATTGGTTTTTCTATTTAATGGAAATGGAGCAATCTCAAAACTTTGCATTTTCGAATTCAGCAGAATATTGACTTTGTTTTGCCACAGATTTTATTACTCCAGCCCTTAAGGTGGTGCCACGCAAAAGGGGAAGCGTAAGATAAAGTTAGCTAGATCAATACATGCGAGTGCTCCCGCCTACTGAAGTTTTTAGCCAGTCATGGTAACCAAATAAATAGCAGTAGATGACATGAGAAACCACAGAAACATATGCTTTTACTCTCATGCTCTTCCTCTCTCAAAAAGGAAATTGTGGATTCTGATTAATCAGATGTGAGAGCAGCAGCTTCGCACGTTTCCTCCTCAGTGCTGTGTTTATTTTGCTCCGGCTCTGGTTTTGGCACCTCTTGCTTCGGTCACAGCTCTGTGTCCTGCCCTAAAACATTATACTGCAACCTGATTGGTGGATCCATTTCGGGTCATACTGCTACAATTTGAGCTGGAACATTCACAAGGCATTCTAGAGTGCTTTAAAGTCACCAATACCACAAGATTTTATCATGCAGGGAAAGTTATAACTGTAAAGGATGGCCACAATGAACTATGGAACTTCTGAGGCCATAATAGAAGACCTTGAGTGAAACCTCTACATGGTTGTTATTAGTTAAAAGAAAAATCAAGTCTCCATAAGGTCATTTTGTCAAAGCTCTTTTCTACGAGGCTCTTGTTTATATTGAAGCCATCTTTTGCTCAACAAATGAAGCCAACAAACATTACATCTCAGTTTTAAAGCCCATAATATGTCATGGAGTCCTTCTAATATGACTTTATTTTTTTCCCCCTCTCCAGTCACTGTTCAACTTGCTGGAGTTCCAGAGGCTAGTTCTTAACTACTCGCCACCCGCCAGAGTCCTGGATCTGCCTCGTAACCAGAAGGTGAGTTGAAATGTGGAAGTAAAGCTGTTATAACCTCAGTTTGAGCTGTCCTCTACTTTTTGTTATGATGCATCCTGCTTTTATCCAATATACCGTTATTATTCGGCCAAAGGTCCACAGATGCCATAAATACTACAAGCAGCTTAACTTCATATCGATGCTCATGAGCTACTCAACATGTTATTGTGTAAATGGAGTACAACAGGGCCCCTGTATATGACACACAAGGGCTTTTTATTTCTCTGTGTGTGTGGTTTGATTTCCGCATGCGCAATCTACATCCTTCCTGTTTCTGTACGCTCCTGTCAACTTCTGTCACTTTAAAGGTATCACCCATAGGACAAAGTAACCGGCCTGTGATTGGCTACTTTTCAGGAAATCCAACAACTAGAATTGGGACGCATTGCCAAGGTGACCAGAGTCAAAGGGTGTTTTCAGTTTCAGAGGCTGCATCCTCCAAGGACCTGGTCTAACTGGACTAAGTCCTCAGAGGTCCGTGAAATTAAAGAGACTGGAAGAGTTTACCAATGGATTCAATCAGGTCCAGCCTTCTCCTACTGTCACCACCCCTCACTTAACGTATGCAATGTCGCCTAGCAACCATGACAGTTGACACAAAAAGCAGGCAACGAATGGATGCTGAAATTGTCACTGCTGTTCTGGGGGCTAGTGACATTTTCGAGGAGCCTCGGTAGCAGCACCGTCATCTCAGATATCAGATGTTTAGTCTCCACACTGTAGCGATATTAGAATCTGGGCTTAAATGTCAGCCAAACCCACTTACACAGGGACAGATAAAAACCTTTCAATAAACCAAACATTACCCACCACATATCTTACTTAATAGCTAGTGGTGGACTTTAGTTTAGTTTGTGCCTTCAACTCGTTACCCATAGGAAGACGTTACTTGGATTACAAAACCGAATATCTTCATAACAGCTCCAAATGACACAAAACTCAAATGGGTGAGTAGAACATGATGTAATAACATAAAATCAAGGGCCCAATGTAAAAAACAAAAAAAACCACAAAAAAAACGGTGTTCCCCTTTAAATAACATCCTGCTGTCATTTTGAACATCTCTGATGTTGCTACAATTTTCAAATATCCATTACTGTAAAAATGTCCATAGCTGTATATTGGTTATTTATTCTCCAGGTGCACAGCTTTATATTGTTAAAACCTGTCCTACAAAACGGGGAAAAAAGAAGACTGCATTTGTCTGACACATGACGAGGAGTCTTCCAATCCGAATAAGCCTCAGCGCCGCTCTATGACGTAATCAGCCTACGAATCTTTGAAGGCTCAGCTGCTGGATACAAACACACCAAACTATCTTCCTGTTTCCAGCTAACTTTTTAGAAATAGCTGAAATAGCTTTGCTAGTAGGAGCACAGTGTCAACAGGCAGGAAAGTGGCCAATCACCGGCAGGTTGCTTTGTCTGGTTGGTAACACTTTAAAGTGTCAAAAGTTGACCTGAGCGCACAGAAATGAGTCCACACGCCCTGTGGTTCTCTATTTACACATGTAGCATACTGAACATACATGTGAGGAGGGTTTACGAGTGCTGCATGAAGCAAAGCTGCTTGTAGGAGTGTTTATTGCCTGGACCTTTTGCAGAATAATGATGCCATCTAGCAATCGTTATGTAGGTGGCAGTGGTGAAGCTTTATGGTTCAGCTTTAAGAACACTGCTTAGGTGAACTGCTGCATGGCTACTGAGAGATGATAGATCACCATCTTATAGTAGAGTGTTCATGATAGAAGAGATGCTCTATTAGAACTATTCTAACCAGATCCTGAGTCAGTTGATGCTGAGTGTGTTTCAGTTCTATCTTAACTCCCCTATCGGATCAGCAGCTAATCTAATCCTCTGCTCTGAGTGTGATTTGAAGCTGACCTCTCATCCTATCAGCTTTCGCTCTGATCTCCATGCTTTACTTGCATGTGAGATGGTTGGAGATTAGATACTTGGCCATCACTGCCACTTTTCAAATGTTAGACTTTCAGTTTTAGTGCCCGTTTATGTTTACCTTAAACATAAAGTACTCAAATAATCTGCTTTATTTTTAGCAGCATTTAAGCCATGATATATTAACTAAAATAGACTTGTTGCACCAGGCAATGTAAATCTACTGCTGCATTCCTAGGTGTGATTTTGTTCACTTTCGGCGCCGTTCTGAGCCGGCTGAAAAGAATGCCGCAGTTTTACACCTGCTATCTTCAGGACCTGCTTAAAGTGTCTATTAACAACGCTCTACGCTTGATCGGGGCTTTATATTCCCACCACACAAAAATGGATCAATGAACTTTCCTGATCGATCATGCAGCCTCCTCCATCGTTTTACTGCAGGTTTCCTTCTACCTGTTGGTTTAAGCCTTTCAAAGTGTCAAACTATGTGGGAAGTAGCACCGCAGTCATGAGTCTCTCCAATATCAACATATTGAAAAGATCACAAGATGATTAAATGATTAAAAGCATTAAAAATAATTAAAAAGCGCTTTTTTTTTGCTTTCATTTTTAGTCAATAATTATCTTCAGTTTAATATTCATGCATTTATTGCTGCTTGTTTTGCAACTAGGAGCACAGAAATCTGCCCTTCATGCAAGAACTGAGGAACCTGTTCTCCCTCATGGTGGGGTCCAAGAGGAAATACGTGGATCCGTCACGGGCTGTGGAGATCCTCAAAGACGCCTTCAAATCCAGTGAGTCACAGCAGGTAAGCCTCTTTCTGCAACAACCTGCTCTCAATACCAACATGTTAGCTGCCAGGTCAGAGATCATGCTCTAAATGCTGGTAGTGTTCTCTGTCGATGAAAGTATGATACGACACGTTTTAAACCCACTTGACCGAGCCAATTTCAGATTTAAGATCCTGAGCTGCCTATGAAACCAGTTCTGAGGTTTTCTTTATGTTTTTTTTTTCATTTCTCATTTTGCTGCTGTGGTTTAGAAAACTCCCTCACATTTTTACATATAACCAAACACTAGTACACCTTTTATTCTGATACCCCTAAATGCACTAATTCCATTAAAGTCATAGGGAAGTCATATTTACATTTCAAATAATTCTGGCTTAAACATGTATATAAATGTACTCTTTATCAGACAATATTGTCCCAAAAGTTAGAACATTTCTATTTTTAAAAGAATCCTGTCCTAAAATCTGTGTTTTTTCCCCCGTTATTTCATGCAGGCCAGTTAGTTATATGTCAGCCTAAACACCAAAATTCAGCCAATCATATATCAACCATCATCTGTCAATCAATTTTTTTAGGTCATAGCATCTTGATTCATATGTCGCAGCTAATATACGCAACCGTTTAAATAAAAAATAAGTATCATTGACTTCAGTTATGTCCCAGTTTTCACGGGGATGGACGTCTGTGTCTTCAGCAGGCATAGAGCTGACAGAACTGGCAACGTTGCGAGGCAAGGGCTCAAACATGTACGTCTGTAATCCTTCTACACCAAATGCAGCTTCTGACGCCCTGTCGTCCTCTTCCACAACAACTTCGCCCCTGCTTTCTTCTTCTAAATAGAAAAATGTATGACTCGTCCAAGACCTCCGACACAAAACTCCTCCTCTTGCATGTTTCCGCTGTCCATAGCGTTCCTTGACAGTGTCGTTATTTCCCATTAGGAACCTACTAGCACTAAGTTGCTAACCGGTTAGCAACTGAGGCACTAGCCACAACCAAAATATGCTTGCAAACCTTCCGCCACATCAATCCCGCCCCATTGATAATGCACCAATCACATTCACTTTATTCAGTTGTGTTAAGTCGGGCTCCACTCAGGACAATTTAGAACTTCAACCGTTGGAACAGCCACTTCCCTACAACTTTAAATATACTCATATTAAGCCAGTTTAGCTCAAATATCTCATCCCACCTTAAAAAAAAGCTCAATATAAATATTTCTGTCAAGATAGTGAAAATGTTCAAACTAACGATATTTATCCAAGCTGATCCTATTCATAATGCCATGCAGTCAGGATTAGTTAACTCTTGCAGTTATAATTGTTCGTGGAGTTATTGACTTTACAGGAAACCCTCGTCCTGCATCGCCGTGCGGTGACAGTTGAATGGAACAACTGCTATCACTGCTGCTCCCATCAGGAAAAAGACACTCAATCATTTTGCTTTACAGATTAATCTCTGTTTCCCACATCTCTCCCTGTGAACTCTGCATCTTTAGAGAGCTTTACTTGTTAAATTTGACAAACATGTAAAATGTGCAGTATTTTTGCAGAGACTGAGGTCGGCCTTCTGGCCTCTGCTCAGCAGCCCCGTCTCTCCCCTTTGCATTAGCCAGGTTAGAGAAGCACTGACCCAAATTACCAAGTGTTACTGAAGAGAGAACGGACTCAGTAAATGATCTGTGTAGTTCCCTAGTCTGTAAACTGAATGTCAGAGACCAAAGATCTGATATATTGTTCGTTATTAAATCACTGAAACGACACTAGATTAATTTTATCTTAAATTTGCTTTTATCTTTAGTTGCCGGGATGTTTTGTAGTCGGGGCCTGCATGTTGTACAGGTAATACTGTAAGTGTTTACCCATGTCTGTGTTTAACAGCAGGATGTGAGCGAGTTTACCCACAAGCTGTTGGACTGGCTGGAGGACGCCTTCCAGATGAAGGCTGAAGAAGACAGGTAACCGGCCCTCACTATGTGGGATGATGATCTTAAAGAATGTTCTACCTGGATGGACTAAAACCATTCAAAAGCAAAATTTAATTATTGGTTTTTTTGTTCTGTAATCAGGATTTGATTGGGGGGGGACTCTGGAAAGTACCACATGAAGTGGTGAAGTTTTTTTTTGACAGATTACGGTCTATAAAACATGATTTATATTTACATTCAACCAACATTACACCAGTAACAGTGCAGGAAAACAAACTACCTTAAAAATCACCTAATTAGTTAATACAGCCTCTGAGATGAGAGGTGCTCTGGTTTAACACTAACTTAATTGTAGGCTAACCCAAAAAACATCTCCTTCCCATGAAACATGGCAGCATCTTTCCCAGCAGGGTAAGATAAGCTGGTCATGGTTGATGAGAAGATGAACCAGGTTAAAAACAGGCAGTCCTGGTATCCTTGTTACTCTAGAATGGTTTAGATGAAGCCTATTTTCAAAGAGACTCCCCCCTAAGGTTTAGGTTTAACGCAGTAGACAAGT